TCTCTCTGGGCTCCATGTAGATACATTACTTATTTTCCAAGGCAAGAATAAGGACACATGTTCTTAATAATGCAAGTGTATTTGTGGAGAGATTGGATATGTAACTGAAAGCCAAACTGTTCCAGAAAATACAAGACCCAGTTACCATATCCGTAGGGAATCAGAACAGAATGGATGGCACTAGACCTCTGCTCTTTTTCTTGGCTCAACTGTTTTGTTTTGTTTAAGAAAAAACACTTTGCCACTAAAACATGATTCATGTAATTCCTAGATAGGAAGTTGGGGAGACTCATGGCAAGAACTCCAACTTGTGTGTCCATCTTCTGCTGTTGCTTTCCCACAGTGAATACATGATCCTATGAGATAAGGAAAGTTGTACTGTTTTGTAAAATTAATCCACTGTTAAATGATGTTTACTTGACATATTTTATATGCTGTTGTCATAAACCATTACTCAGAGACAATGAAATAAGATCTAGGGGTGGAAAGCATATTGTTGGTCATATGTATTTAAAGACATGTTAGCTTTAACACCATTTTCTTCTTGAAGGTATTTCAGTTGATCTGCCTGTTCTGTTCCCCCCCGTAGGGTAAAGAAAAAGTATCAGGCTTTTCTGCCCTCCCACCATTAGAATAGATGAGGGAACCCTGTGGTCCTGAATGCATGCCTGATGGCGGGCACCTGAAGTGGGTACACCTAAGCTAAGAGACTGAGTTTATAAGGGCGGCGTCATTGGGACGCCAGCAGAAGCCAAGAATGAACTGAAGCCGAGAGAAGAAGAGAAGCAGAGAGAAAGCCAGAAAGGCCAGATAGAGTGAGGATTTGCTGGGGGCTGGGAGGCCTGCCAGCCTCCCAGCCCCGCAGCACCCCAGCCTGTCATATGCCTGGTAAATCTAAATAAAAGACCTGCAAAAGCCACTGAGGACTCTGACTCCTCCTTTACCCGGTCTGCTGGATCAGAAAACCTGCTCCGTGTCCATTGCTGCCCTCTACACCCACTCTATCTGTGGTCAGTCCTCTCACCCCCCACACCTCTGGCTTACACCCCAGTTTTTGTATGCATAAATAAATAAATCTAAAAAAAAAAAAGAAAGTCCTGGTCAGGTAGGGATGGTAGAGAAAGCAGTAAATTCAGAATCAGAAAATATTGAGGTCCAATGCAGGTTGGTGCTATGAGCTGACTGTGGTCTTTCTACATCTCAGGCCCCTCAGCTGTAAAGCAGGAAGCAAGCCCCTCATGCCTGACTGCTCTCCTGGGGTTAGCTGGGATGATGGAGTCATTTACAAGCACCTTACTAAGTGCTTAATCATGTGTAGCACTTGGGCCCTCCCCTCTGAAACAGGCTGGGAATCACATGTACTAAGATGCAGGAGACTGGTTATCATTTCATTGCTGACTTGTGTCTGTTTTCTGGTCACTAGTCAAATGAAAACAATCAAATTAAAATAACTGTTTTTAAAAGTGAAGGCATTTGCAAGTACTGTGATTATCAGAAATGCTAAAGCAACACAGCTGTGATGCATGCTGCTCCCTCAGAAGAGCAATCTGTTCATCAAGCACAGGGACTGGGACGGCGAGCCAGGCCTTGCTCAGGTCACCTAGCAGTGTTTTCTCTCTCTAGCTGAGTGAGCGCCTCTTCCCATCAGTCATTATTGACTCCATCCGTCCTCTCCCCATCTCTCTCTCTCTTTCATCCTGTCATAATGTTAAGTATTGGCCAAGAATCTACTGGGTGTCAGGGTCTCCCTCAAAATCAGTTACTTTCACTCAGGGAAATATTTAATTTTCCATATCTGAATTTATACTGTATTGTGGACGATAAACCTGGGTTTACATATATATATATGTTTACAAAGATATACATATTGATATGTATATCATATACATATGGGTTTACAAAGATATACATATTGATCCCCTGAGTCCTTCCCCACTCCTCAAGACAGGCAGAGCTGGCTCCTGCCTTGAAATGCCCATTTTGGGGGTATGTTTGTTTTGTTGAAGTTAACTAACATAACATTGCATTAGTCTCAGGTGTGCAATGTAAAGGTTCAATATTTACATATAGTGCAAAATGTTCACTGCAGTAAGACTCATCTACATTATCACCATACATAAATTCTTTTTGGGGTGAGAACTTTTAAGATTTACTCACTTAGCAACTTTTCCGATTGTAATATAATATTCTCTATAGTCACCAGGCTACACATTACTGTTTGTCACTGAAAATTTGTCACTGTATCTTTTAACCCCTTCAATGCTTGTTTGTCTTATTCTGGAAAGTTACTATGCACTAAGCGCCAGAGAGTGTCCTGAATCCTAAGGTGCTGTAGTTCCATCCTTTGCTGCACACCACCCAGAACTCCGTAAAATGGTCAGTAAAAACATCTGCTGCAAGTAAATTTTAAAAAGTCAACTACCTTCTTCATCTCCCTATAAAAAGTCAAAATCTGAAAACTATTGGGTGGGTTGGGTGCAAAAGATAGAGGAAAATAAAATTGGTAATTGCATCATGAAAAACTCAAAGTAGAATTAAATTGTTCTAAAGGAAGCTATTACTCAGCTGTAAAATAATTATCATTCATAGAATAACAAAGATACTATTCATTTAAAAGTATGCCTTTAAAATCCCTGAAACATTTTAAAGGCGTATTTTATAACAGAATGGAAGCGGCATGTTTGGCTAAATCCCCTGATTTTGGGGTCCGGTTCTAGATGGTATTAACTAGTGATTTTTACTGCTACTATTTTTATTGACTTAATTTATTAGTAATCTGAAAACTTTTAACTTGTGTTTGCCCTGCATCATACAGTATTTTACTTGTCAGTTTTCAATGTATGGTGGAACTGTTAATATAGCAGTAAGCATATGGTAATCTGACCCCAATCTGTCTCCATGTTTTCCTTAAAGTGATACATATAATGTAAAACTGTTATGATAATAAGATGTCAAGGATGATTATGACTAAGGTCCCTTAAATTAAAAATGGGCAATTTAAAACTCTAACTCTTGTGCTTATAGTGTTATCTTTCTCTCTTGCATATTGTAAAATGATTTGTCCTGTTGTTTTGTTTCATGGATGCACTGGAACAAGTGGAGCAAGTGAGACAATGCAGGGACAGGAGCTTTTCTTGAGGGGGGCTGAGCTATGTGATATCCATCCACAGCAGATCACGAAAAGGCTTGAGCTTTACAAAGTGTGGCAGAATAAAATCCTCAAAGTGTGCATATGCAGGCGTTCCTAATATTGGAGACCCTCACACACAAAGCTGAAGAAATAAACTTTATTTTGAGATCAAAGCCGAACTGTCACCAAACACTGCAGTCACTCACTCAATAATGATCACCTCCCACCATGAGGAAGAGGCTCTTCCAAAACATGATGACCGCACAGTCCCTGTCCTCAGAGCATCCATGGTGTGGTGGCAGAGGCAGTAGATTACCAAGTGCCACATACCACTGGGCACCCTGGTGGGTGGGGGTATAGGGGTTGGTCATTGGGGTCTGTGAGCTGCATGTGCACTGCAGCAGTGCTAAGGACAAGTTTAATAAGGCACAGCTGGACCCATACAAAGGAATAATAAATGAGTTCTCATGAACCATAGATTACTCACTAAATACAAGTGATCCTTGAACAACACAGGTTTGAACTACACAGGTCCACTTATACCCAGATTTTCTCATAAACAGGCAACATGATCCTATGGTACTGATAAATGCAGCATACTACTATAAATGTATTTTTTCTTCCTTATGATTTTCTCAATGTCCTTTTTTTCCCCCTCTAGCTACTGTCTTTATCTCTAGAATATAGTGTATAATAAATAAACATACACAATATGCATTGATCTTAATGCTATCAGTAAGGCTTCCAGTCAATAGCAGATTATAGTAGTTAAGTTGAGAGGAAGTCAAGAGCTATATGTGAACTTTTAAAGTCCCTAACCTCTGCATTGCTCAAGAGTCAATCGTACTGATAATTAATGGAAATGGTCAAGATGCCCATCACCATAGGCAGAACAGAGATTAGGGGAGTGAGAAGAACTTCAGTTCTGAAAAGAGAACTTGAAGTCCCATGCTGGTGAATGTTTGAGGATGTCAGCTCCTGGCACCACATTCTCTGGCCCTACAGCATTTCAGAATAGTGCTTTCATTCATCTGCTCCACTTTTATCTCTTCTTCCTTCTCTTTTCCTTTTCCCAGTGAGTTCCAAGAAGTATAAGAGTAGCAATGGCAATGTCAAGCATCAGCTTATCAAATATTTCTGCTACTGTCCTTCTTCCTATTATCTCCTTATATAGTTGACTATATCAAGGTAAAAGAGAATTAAAGAGGAAATAAAATCCCCAGAATTTTTTTTCACTGTCAACTGATAGCAGAGGACATTTTCATTATAACTTGAATAGAAAAATTATGTCTAACTAATGACTTGAAGATTAAAGACTCTGGGCATAATAATGCCAAATACTTAAATAAATGGACATCTAAACTCCATTAAAAATGAAGAGAAAAGTCTGACAGAATTTATTATAGGATTTTAGCCTTGAAGTCATGAAATTTTAGCTTACCAACTGCCACAATTTTTAACTAAAGGTAACCTTTCGGTTAGCAATTGGAAAGCAAATTGACATCTTTATATCTCTTTGGAGACTGTTAAAAAATGGCAAAATAATTAAGGAATTTAGAGAAATGTTCAACATTCTGTCTTAAATATTCAAATAGGGTAGGGAGAGCACTCAACCCATTTTTAAAGGATTGTGGCAATAAATTGTGACTTCTCTCTTCAGCCCCATCCATGTTTGTAAGCAGAGAAAAACAAAAAGTCAAATGAAATAGGTTATAAAGGATTTTAATAATCCATCAGCTCATTCCTGTGAACATTCTCTTTCCTCCTTGACCCCTATTGTACATTTTTTAAGAACATCCTCCATCGTTAAGATCCCTGTGTTTACTGCACCAAATTGTAATTCTCACTGTCACTTTTCTCTTTCTTCCAGAGTTTCTTTGAAGGGCAGTCTGCACCATGGGACTCTGCTAAGAAAGATGAAAACAGAATGAAGAACAGATATGGGAATATCATTGCGTGTAAGTGTTGACAGTGTAATTGTGCTGTGGTATAACTTTCTTTTCACATCTGCTGAGATTGACCACCAGTCTCACGCAGGGAAAATTTACAGGGCAATTATTGCTTTCATCCTGTAGGAAAGCTGGTATTATGCTCTTATTAAAGAAAGGAAAAACTACCTAAATACCCCCACTACGTCAGTGTGTCTTACTGTGGGCCTAGTTTTACTTTTAGATTTAAGGTTTGGGTAACACAGGTAATGTTAAAAGGCTGAGACAGAAAATACATTTCAGAAGGAGTAAACACCGTGGGCCTAACGTTCCCCAGCCGCAACATGAGAATGAATAGAAACAGTGCTGCACAGCACGCCTAACGCAAGGAGCACAGAGCTCTCAGCAAACATTAACTCATTAATCCTCCCGACACTTGGGTTAGGTAGGTCAGTAATGGCCCCATTTTAAGGACAGGAAACTGAAACTGAGAAGTTAAATGATAGTCCCCATATCACAACACTCATTAGCAAAAGAGCTAGGATTGTATCTCAGAAATTCCCAGTTCCTGTGAAACTGAATGTTACCCATCCATAATGCTTTGGACAGTTTTTAAATCGAGCCCGACCTCATTAATGTTCTGTAACGATGCCGAGACGTGTGGTAAATCGCTGAGCCTTTTTCTCCCAGGGCTGAAGCCATCCATTCCCCACATTACAGCGTTCTAAGTCACACAGACAGCACCACGGTACTGATGAGATACTAAGAGAATTAATACTATTTCTAAAGATATGCAACTGAAAGAGGAGGAATTGTGAGACTAGGCCTAGAGAACATTTGGCTCATCATGTCTTATTACTTCTAAGAAACAAACAGAAAGGGCTGGATATTCTAGGAGAGCAATGTGTTAGGTTTAATGATTGTGACGGTGTTGTTAAAGCTTATTTGCCCGAATTTGCCTTTCTTAGCAGGACAGTATAGAGTCCATGGCAGCCTGTGACTGTAAAATGCTGTGTTTGTCCCCACAGAATGTAGCCGGTTGTCACGTGAGCTCTCGAAATGTGACTGGTGTGGCCGAGGCATTGTCTTCAATTGTATTTCATTTTAATTATTTTGAATTTAAATTGAACATGAGACTAAAGACTCCCCCATTGGATGGTTCAGATCTATCCTGTGCTATAAGAAAAAATAAGGGGCAGGATTTACATATGATAGACTCATCCTAACTGAGCTTGAACAAGCCCTGTTTTCCCTTCGGCAGCTCTTTTAAGACACTGGTTTGCAGGTAGCTGGTACTCGCTCCGAGTATTTTATTTCATTTTAAAACATGCTGCATTGACTTAGTGCTTCCTTTGGTTGTGTCAGGAGTCCGTCTTAGGTAGAACGTGCTTCCCTACCCCTCAGTGAGTTCAGTCAGCATAAGGACCATCAGAGGCTGGGCCCACGCAGAGGACTTCAATGTGATGGAGACAATACCCCTGCCCCCAGGACAGAGTGGACCAGGCAGATAACAGCCCCCCGTCCAGCATGGTGACACAGCACGGAGCCATGTGCAGAGTGCTGCCAGGACTGAGGAAGGAAATGGGCATTTCTTGCCAGAGTCGTCATGGGGAGAGGTTTTTGACCTGTGGATCTCAGGGAAGCATGTACTATCTAGAAAGGACTTTTGACATGACTAAGTGAAACACTATGTAAATATAGCATTTTTCCTCTTTTTTTTTTTTTTTAAAATTAATGTATTTGAACAGAGGTAACATTGGTGTTGGCCCATCAGGTATTACCCCATAGTGCGTCCACTACCAGCAGTGCCTCCTTCCCAATCTGTTCTTTCCCCTCCCCACCCCCTTGGTGTTTCAGTTCTGCAGACAACTATCAGGGGTTAGTTTTTCAAAGCATGTTTTAAAATGAAACAAAACACTCGAAGCAAGCACCTTCCACATTCTGTCATACTCACAGTGAGAAAAATTCATATTTCTCATAAAGGCATACTGGATCCTTTCCAAGGGTTCCTTTGGCTCTGCCACAGACTCCAAAGAGATTCACAGGGGTTAAATGGGACTTCTCAGCAGTGCCCTGGCCCTTCATCCACACCAAGCAGAAGGGAGTGTTGATAAGCCTCTGTCCTGCAGCAGCTGTAATATCCCAGATGCAGGCCTTATCCTGAGCATGTAGTAGGCAGTGCACATGGGAGCAGTTTTAGGTGTGCTTTGGCCTTTGTCCAGCATGTAACTTTGAGTCTGCTCCTTTCCAATGCCTAGTTTAATACCTGCCCTTGGTAGACAATTGAAAAATATTTTTGAATGATTAAGAAAAAAATAATAAAAGCTAGTATTTGCTGATAACATACTATATGCTTGACAGCACTATAAGCACTTTGCAATTGTTAATGCACTCACTTCCTGTCTCAACACCATGAGATAGGCATTTTGTTACTTAGAGGAAATTGAAGCATAAAGAATGTAGAAGACTTATAGCCAGTAAGATGCAGAGGCAGGATTCCACCCCACCAATAACTTTCATAGTAACTGCCCACTAGATGGTTGGGTGGTTGGGCCCCCAGCTTGCCACCATGCCTGAAGTTACCAACAGCATCTTCCAGGCCAGGGTCTGTGACAAGAGGCAGCATAGGGAAACTCTAGTCCCCTCATTCCCCATCCTTCATCTCCAGCCACTTCAAATGAATATATAAATGAAGTAATAACTCTGCACTTGCTCTTCAGAGAGCTTCAAGCTATGTCTTCTAGCCCCAGGGTGACCTCCTTGTTGCTACAGAGAAATTCTGGAGCTGCCACTGTCCTCTGGGGGCTTCATTCTGTTTTCTGAGGAGGATAGTGGAGACAGGATCTAATTGATATGGTGGTTGTTAACACTTTATCACTAATTGTCACCTAACTCAGAATGGGGCCCCCGGGAGAAATAGGATGTCTGAGAACATTTAATCATGAGCTGGGGGAGAGGCAGTAGCTGACAGCTGCCTGCATCCTGCTGGTCTGGTGCTGTGGCTGAAGGAGGGTCCAGGCCAGCTCATCTGTAGGGAAGAGGAACAAAAGATCAGCATATCTAGCCTAACCTCCCAACATTATTATGATCAACTTCATACTGTCTTTTTTGTATGAAAACATTTAAAAAACACAAATTCTATACAAATATAGAATATTTTAATATTTAATGCTAAACACTGTCCTTATTTTCAAGTTGGCTTTTGTAGGGTTAAAGTAACTTGCTTGTGATCACAAATAGGAAGATGTCCTTTTTTTAAAAAAGATTTATTTATTTGTATAGGAACCGGAGTACAGGGCAGATGCATGGGAGGGTGAGAGGATTCACCAGAGACAGAGAGGGAAACAGAACAGGCAGACTGAATGAAACACACTGCTGAGGGGAGCAGTGGGCGAAACAGGAAAGGTCTGCAGCACCATGTGAGACCCTTGCCGGCCAGCCAGGATCGAACCCGCGCTGCAGAGGCTGCTGACAGCTTCACAGCACGGCACTCAACCACCTGTGCCACCAGGGGAGGCCCAGAAGATGTCCTTTTGTGATACAAAAAAAATATATTTTTAGGTTTAATTATTTAGGGAAATATGTTTGCATAGACTCAGGCAGAAGCATAACCCCTTTCTGTAAGCCATGTGCGTTGCCTTCTTTCTGGGCCACTTTGGCGCCTCACTGTGGCTTGTCTCATGGATTCACTCCTGCAAAGCTCTAGGCAGCCTCCAGAGGTCCTGCCCATATTGGCTGGGCTTTAGCCCTTTTGGAGATTTGGAGTACAACTGTTTTCCACAGAAATGTTGAATCCCCGTCCTCTAGCTGATGTCTCCTCACAGCTGGACCAAGAGCCTGGGATTAGATAAATCCAATAATGCATCCCTCCAATTCAACAAATACTTACTGATCATCTACTATTGGCCAGACACTGTGCTAGGCAGAACAATCGTTAAACATAATTGGATACTGCCCTTTGACAAATAAAAGGTTTGACAAAGCCGTTCTGCAAAAAAACAGATAAAAAATATTTTAAGTTCTGAAGACCCTCCAATCTCAGTTCATCTCCCCAGCTCTGCTATTTAATATAAAAGCAGCCAGAGACAAGGGCCTCCCCGGTGGCGCAGCAGTTGAGCGCTGGGTTGTGAAGCTGCCTGCGGCCTCTGCGGCGCCAGTTCGATCCCCGGCTGCTCCCCGGCCACCAGAGGAGGGTCCCACATGGCGCGCAGACCTCTCCTGCCGCCCGCTGCTTCCCTCAGCAGTGTACTTCGGTCCTTCTGCCTGCTCTGCTCCCCACTCCGGCTCTGGTGAATCCTCTCACCCTCCCGTGCTTCTGACTGTACCCAGTGCATGTATAAACAAAACACACAAATAAATAAATAAATAAATAAAAAAAAAAAAAAAAAAAAGCAGCCAGAGACAAGACATAAATGAACAGTCTGATTGTGTTCAAATGAAACCGATTTAGGCAATGGACTGGATTTGGCGCTCAGGCTCTAGTTGCTGAGTCCCAGTTCAGTGGAGAAGCGATTCCACCATGAGAACATTTCATTTCTACCTCTCAGGCACATTTCTACCACCACCAAGATCATCTTTAACTCGCAAGACCTTGCACTTAGGACCTATCATTTCATAACCCCATAAGCTGTCCTTGCTACTGTCAACCTCACACCTATTCCTAAGCCCCCCTCCAATTTTTTTTTACCTTCCAGTGTTACCCATATGAGTAAACATCCTATATCATCATCTATCCATCTGTCCATCCAAACACAGGAGTTATCTTTGACTCTTCTCTTCCTTACCCAATCAATCAATTCAGTTTGGTCAGTTTCTCTTCTTGAATCCATCTACTCCTCTCCTTTCTAGTGTACATTTTCTTTTCTTACCTGGGCTACTAGGAAAATCTCTTAACTAGTGTTCCCTTCCAGTTCAATTTTTAATTATCTAGTAAGATTAAATTTTTCAAATGTAAATTTGATTAATAGCCCCTTTTCCCCCAATAACCATGTGATCTCTTCCTTATTCTTATTTAATAAAGACTAAAATCC